CCTTTTTTCAATTATGTGGACGAAGGGAGCAGCCACTCCTTGAATCCTATGGGTTCCTCATACCCACCTAAATTCAAACCCTAGCTGCCTCGCGATAGCTGGCCTCGAACACAACACAATACAAAGTGCCTCTCGTGGTGAGTAATACCTCCCCTAACAAGAATATTTCTCGTGTTTGCTCTCGTTTTCCCCATCTAGCCTTTCGACCGTAACCAATCGATGATCCAAGTGTTTGCCTCATCCTTTTTTACTGCTGACTCCACGCCAATAGTGGAAACTCAGCGACTCATTTTGAACTCACTTTCTATCATTTTCAAATCGACTCCTTTTCCAGATGCGAGTAAATCTTCTGATACTCCTGTCCGCTGCATTTATGGCTACAGTATTCGCTGATGAGGTCAGCAGAGTGAAAAGGAGCTACTACGGCTATGACTATGGTTACGGAGTGTAAGTTCTACCGTAGAATAAAGCTTCAATATAAGAGGGAACGGTTCACTAACTAGGAAAGGCTCATTATTTGCCACGGAACTTTGAAATGAGACCCAGGTTAATCGATGGAGCCTGGGATGCTGACTACAAATCTGAAGTTCAAAACTGATATGTAGACCTGCCAGAGAAGTTGTAAGCGATCAAGTTGGTCCAGGGCTTGATTCCCTGTAATGATACCACTTTCGCACCTAGGGTTGGCGTTCTAATATTGATGCCAGATGGCGTCAGTTTCAAGAATATATCATTTGTCATAATTGTAAATAGCAGTCGGTATCCTCTTAAAAGGAGGCTTTTACCAAATGCAGTTGTACCAAGTAGAATTCTCAACCAAGTTTGACCATTCAGAACATCCTTGGCACGATCACGTAGCAGATTTGAACTCCACAATTGGAACCACTCCCCCAGACTCTGTCGTATTTCTGAGACTCAGTTTAAGGTTCCATGAGTATCAGAAAAACTTCCCTATGGAGAGCAGAGCGGGTAAAATAGAGCAGCGTTCACTATCCGCGGTGCTTCAACTTGGAAGATTTTAGACGTTTCCAGTCGTCAGATCATTGCAGCCAGTGCAATTCCAGTACAGAATCGGCTGTGTCCTCCACAACTGAAGTTTGTTAGCAAGCTAAATATGCAGTTAGTGGCTGGGCTCTGAATCGTATATACAGGGGGGGGGCCAAAAAAAAAGACATTTTGCCTATGTCGGACTTCGGCTCTTTTTTCTTCGCAGAGATTGCTGTCGTTGACGGGAGTTCCTCAGCAGAGTATTCCCTAAGTGTCCCTCTATAAGTGAACGCAGGCTCTCCTTCACTGCCCTCACCGTCTTCAGAATATGACGTCATCTGTCACCGTCGTCAGGCTCAAGGAGGTCTACCGTAAGAGCTTCAGCCTGAAGCTCTTACGCAATTTCGTGAATCGATTTAATGTTGGATAGTTTTCTAGAGGCATTAGCTACCACTGTGCAAATCCCCTCGAAACTAGCTTTCCAGTAAGGGTCGTTATGGTACACGATCCTTCGAAGACCCATTGAGCTCGACCAGTGCACCATGTTTCCAGGGCAAATTCTTCTGATGCCGTCCACGTAGGTGGCCACATGAAGATTTTCTTATAGAATGGAATGCGCTCTTTAATAATAAGTTGGAACCATTTCGGTCTGAATTGAGCAAAATGTGCTTAAATCCATCTGGAAGTGGAGGCAAAATGTCTTTTTTTTTTGGCCCCCCTGTATATATATTAGTATAATATAACATATTAATAAAAAATAATAGAAGAATAGAGCAAATGAAAAGTGCGTCAAAAATAACTTTTGTAAAGACTCACAAGTAGACGCGTGCACACCGTTCCACGAAAGTCTTTTTTTCTGAGGAGGGAAGGGGAGGGGTGGGTATAACACAGTTGTATAAAACGACGAGGTGGTCCATGAATACTCAACAATATTTTCAGCTTACAGTTGTGTAGGATTCTGTATGTCTTTTTCCCGCTGTTGGCATAACTTCAATTCCTATAACCTCTTGCGAATAACCTTGCCAAAGTGCACGGCTTATCATTCGTTGTGCATTTGATGGTGCACCTGAACCTCAAATAGAGGTCCTAATCCCTCATACAGCTAGGTCGGACATCGGTGATTAACATCGCGCTTCTTTGGATTTTCAACCGCTCCTTGGCCTACCGTGTACTGAAGAGAAGACCAATGGAAGTAGTCTTTGTTGCGGCCGCCCCACAAGTTCTGACATCTTGGATCTCAGGAAAAGCATGAAGAAGCGAAACGACTGCAATACCCGGGTTGGCTCGAGAAAGGTGACCAGAACGCTGGAGTTTCTAAACACAGTCATGTAGAGAGTGGTTATATAAGAAGTGCTCACAGTCCTTTATAATTTGCATAGTCACCACTGCTCAATCCTACGGGAGGAGCACAATAGAGACAGAATGTTCAAAGACCTGGTGTCGAGGGCCGAAAACGGCGATCACGCGGGCACCGTTTTCATCGACGACAAAATTCCTCACATGGAGCGGAGCTACAATCTTCAAACTCCGATGATGCCCGCATGAGGTCCTGTGGGAGCTAATGAGAGTGAAGAGAATATTTGCCACAAGCAACGCCAATCTTTATCACAATTTAGGCAAAAGGTCTCAATCAATGGTCGCTCACCACAACTGTTTGTTGAAAAGCGAACAAAACTCGAAGGAGACCTGGCCGACGAATGTTTCGGTGCACTACCTGTAAGATGTCTAATTCTCCAAGGAAAAATGACGTTGTTTCCAAAGGGCTTCAATCTGTTTATTAAAGGGCAAAAATTGTTTAAGACTGGTTTCACGATACTGTTCCCCATTTCACATCCTCAAAGGAATGGCTCTCATATCTCTCTCGATTTCAACCTGCTGGACCATCCTATTTGGGCTGTGTTAGAGGACAGAGCCTGCACTAAACAATGCGTCCAAATAGAGGAGCTGAGAGTCCTTTTTCTCTAGAAAGTTGAAGGCACTCTAGGATGACAGGGAGAAACAAGTGGCTGCTTTTTTTGTTTTGTTTTTGCGTTGCGTTTGGAGCAACTGGAAGCCATATTCACAGCGTCAAGGAGACTTATCGAATAAATGCCATTCCTTTCAACATCTTAAGGACGGGTTAAGGATAGTGTGTGATCACATGAAAATACGTCCACTTTGAGAGGAGTTACAAGATAGAAAAGTGTTGTTTTTTTTTTTGGTTTTTAACAGTATTTATGGAACACCCTGCATTGCCTAATTCTTTGAAGAATAGCAGTGAAATTTAAAGGCGGTTTGTAATGAAAGAGCTGACGGGTGCCCATGTCAGTATTTTGCCTTCCCAGCTGAGATTGTTTCTGAGAATGGCTCCGAGTGGTGGAAGGTTTGGTTGGCATGGACGGGATTTACCTCGCAACCAGGGGATGGTAAGCGAAGCTTTTGAATCAAATAGGTTGGAGAAGAGGATGGAGGTGAACCTTCATAAAGCAGAAGCGTTTTTTTCCAGTGATGGTGATTTCTGGTACGCTGGTCGCATTTTGGGCATCATCCTCGGCATCTCAATGCTGCTGCTTTGCTGCTGCATTCCATGCGTCTGTCTAGCCGGGATCTGGTTCCTTGGTTGGTTCGGACTACGTCAACGTCGCCAGCGGAAAGCCACTGCGGCTAACAGTGCTACCGGTATCGGCAACCAGACTCAAGGTGCGTTCAGATGAATTCAGGACGCTTTGAAAATCAGTTCGGCTTCAGTTTAGCGTCGTCTTCTGCTGCGATGCCACAGTCACCGCCCACGCCAAAATCGGGGGTCATCTCGCATCCGATTCGCGTCGACGATTCGCCACCGTTACGCCACTTTTCCGACACCAACAACGTCATCTACACTGCTGAAGACCGCTATTACACGTCTTCTGCTTCAGGCGGCGATCGTCGACCTGATCCGTATCGAGCGTCTCGATTCTAGTTACCGTCCTCCTGTTTATGGTCTTTCATTCCATTGTTGTACATATCCAGTTCTTCACTCATTTTTCATCTGAATTTCTAACGCAGAACTTCCTTACAACGTCTTTTCTCTGCAAAGAAACCACATATAGCCATTCATAGCCCTGTGATTCTAGGCGGAATTCGTTCCGCGATTTACAGAAACTTTGCCACTGTAACGTCAATGTTGTTTCTATTTTGTCATTCAAAGCATTTTGTTCTTTCTTGACTTCACAGATAATACCATGCTACAATGAATTAAAAGCTGCCATTTTGAGCATGATTTTTGTATTTTTGTTGGATTTCCCATCCATTGAACGACATTTCGCGTGTTCCACATCGAAGGGTAAACTAAGAGAACTTCCGAATCAATCACCCGATCTGCCAAATTCAACTAGGGGCCGTATTGGCGATTTCGGACAGGTTGATAGTTTGTTGGGCCGTTCTCTTTTTGAGTGGCGGTTTGGTGGGTGAAAGTGAATACTACATTATATGCAGGAAGTTCTGTCGCTTCAGTCATTCCGCGTATGTACTCTTCCCTCCCCGTAAACATGATCTTTTTGAGGAATTTCAGAGGGGGAAGTGTTAAGCTGTAACAGGTTTGGACTTACACTGGAGGGGTGGGCGACATCATGAAAGGCGGACCAGCACCGAAGGATTGTTTTTGTTTTCTTGTCATTTGTTGCCGCATTAGCGACTTCCATCGGTGCTGCGCTCTCATCGCTTAACGCTTTTGTTCTGCTAGAGTACCAGTGTCGACGCAAGAGGGAGGCTGCCGCGGCGGCGGTGGCGGCGGGCAATGGCCCCCGCCTCTCTTAGCTGGACCTACCCGCGTCCTTGACCTTACGAGCGGGTTCTGTCGCACATGTGATATTTCTTTTGCTTCCCGTTCTAATCTTTGAACCTCTTTGAATTCCTTCGATTGAGTGAAACGGCATGTTGGGGTAGTCACTTCATGTTTCAAGCGCAAAAATTGGAAAAAAAAAATTGAAATAAGGAGATTAGTTTGCCTAGCGTTCTACTGTATGTATTTGTTTCATTACACTACTTCGGGTGTTGATCACTGCATATTCAATGCTGCGCAGGTGGCAAAAGCAGCAGCGACATTATAGCGAAATCAGGGTGTTTGGAAAAATTAAGGAAAAAGTCTAAAATGAAATGATGGTAGTGTTCACTCTTTAGTCATCTGAAGGCGCATTTCAAGTCTGACATATGCGAAGATTTCGTTAAGGAATAAATGTATACGTGCGAGGTGGGACAGAGACGAGTGCATGGAAAGGACCCCTGAGAAGGTGGAATCAGTTAGCACATTTTAGAATCTAGGCGATCACAGAGATTGATGGAAATGCTTGAGAAAGATAGAGAGAGGGAGTATTATGAAACACAAACGCAGAATCTTTCTTGTGTCGCGAAATGAAATGCAGGCGGCTGTGGAACGACAAGGCTTGGTGTCATCATGAGTTTGCTTTTCAACACAGGGACGGCATATATCCTTTCCTTGTGCTCAGTTCTATCCTACCTTGAATGAGAAGGGTATTGATCCACCTAGCCTCGGTCGGTGTGGGACTTCTATAGTATAATTCTTACTATGACACCGTTCACGGAAATAGAGTTGAACGCACCTATTTTAATGTGTTAGAAGTTTCGCTGGATTTCAGTAAGATGTGCACTCCAGTTTGGGAAAGTGCAACGAGGTACTTCTATCACTGTCAACTCATCAAAACTCCACCAAATCTTTCTTTCGATATTTTCATCTATAACCAACGCTCAGAAAAAAAATCGTTTTTCCGACATAACTGGTTTCTTGGAAGTTGCATCGAAACTAATCACTCGGCAGAAGACTTCTAGCCTTCCAGCCTCTCGTCGTCGTATCCTCTAAACACATTCTCTCAATTTGCATGGATAATTTTTATCCTGAAATATGCTCTCACAAATAAGTTGAAATGTTACACAACACTAACAATAAGAGACTGAGATGCAAAGCTTTTTCTACGAATGGCATGTTATCCATGGAAAAAAGGGTGATCTGATCCAGTTGATGAGAAGCACCGCTAGCATCGCTTGAACCGTCCAAGCTAACAACGCTCTTCCTTGGGAATCACAATATTATAAGGCTTATGCGGAGGGTTAAAAACGTGCTGAAGCGGCCTATATGAGCGGTTGGGTGTGCGTCATATGGCGCGATCCCATTGGCATTGGAGCGCACAGGCCGTAATTACCACATCCTGCTGTGGCCGGACAACTCGTCCGCGCAACACATTCTGTTCCGTTCCTCTTGCCTTGGCATCAGGCCAGCGAAGCTATCCGCTCTTTTTTGATCTTTGGGACTCAGCGAGATTTTTGAGACCCAAATTATCAGATCGATCAATTACTGAAGTCTAGTAGTTGAGTGATACGGACGAGTTGTCCGGCCGCAGCAGGATGGGGCAATTGCGGCCTGTGCGCTCTAATGCCAATGGGATCGCGCCATATGACCGCCTCCCATGTGAAATGCACATGGAGAATGATAACATTAACACGTCGACGACATCGCGCGTTTTGGGTTTTCGCACCGAATAAGACGAGAGCGATTCCGCGAGCGCCGCCGGCA